TGCGGGCAGCCCCTCAGGTCATCGGCGTCGTCTACGACGAGCGCGACGATCGATTTTGGTGCAAATCCCGGAGCCAATCCGGCGAGGAGGAGCTGACGCCGCTGTGGGCCATGCCGGCCGAAGCCAAGGCCAAGGCCGACGCCGCGGCCGAGGCCGCCGCGACGAGCGACCGGCGGCGGCCGCCGAAGGTCGACGCGGACGGCGACCGCACGGGCCACTCGTACTACCCGAGTGCCAAGTACGAGCGCGTCCTCGGCACTCACATCACGGGCCAGTCCAACCACGCGCGCGACTCGCGGCTCGTCCTCACGTCCGCGGACAGCGTCATCTCCGGCCCCGGCTCCGCTAGCGTCCAACTCCACGACGAAGCGTGCGGCTTCCGCGTCGAGAACCTCGCACTCGACGCTAAGCTAGCCACGGCCGAGGTCATCGGCCTGCTCAACAAGCGGTCCTACCACCCGGACGCCTTCAGCCCGTCCCGCAAAGCCTTTCACGCCAAAGACCTTACCTTCCCGTGCCTCTATGCGGACCAGTACCCCTACGTGGACACCAAGTGGTCCGTGCCGAAGAAGCTCGACGTCGCGTTCGACCTCGCGCACGCGGAGTTCGGCAACCAAGGGCGGACCGAGGTCACGGGCGCGTGCCGCGACGACCTGCTGCACAATGCCGCGGGCTTCACGTCTGATTACGTCCCATTTCCTGATTCTGCTACGATAAGCAAGCGCTGGTTCGAGGATCGGCGCGTCTGCGTTGCGCCGATGGTGCCGGGCGAGTCCGGCCAAACGGACCACCGCGACGCGCGCGTGTGCAACGAGTTCCAGCCGCCGAAGAAGAAGATCCCGCCGCTGACGATGGTCTTCGTCCTCTACCTCCGGAAGCTCGCCGACGGCTCGTTCGAGGAGGCGCCCGACGTCGACATCAAGGACGTGTCTGGCGTCCGCTTCCGCACCGTGCCCCGCACGGGCGAGACGCGGGACACGAGCGAGGACTTCGAGATCCGCGTGCCGCACGGCGGCTTTTGGGCCATCTGCGCCCGCGCCAACGCGTACTACACGCACGGCGTGTTCTGCGCGAAGGACTCGAAGCTGCCGCCGGGCGTCTACCGCGTCCCCGTCATCTTCTCCAACTACGGCCGCGCGAGCGACGACTAGGTATGGGTAAGGAGCAGCCGCTGACTCCTGTAGGACTCGCGCGCGCGCGCGGCCGGCCGGCCGTGCCGTCGGCATCATCGATGTTGGACTAGTTATTGAAGGGGATCATCCGGGCGCGAATCAGCTCGAGGTGCATGCACTGTGCCGTGGACGTCGAGTCGTCCATGGCCACAGCGCGTTCAAAGCACGTCAAAGCCTGCCTTACCGCGTCAACGCGACAAAAAAAAAAAAAAAAATCGCTAAAAAGTTTGGCAGCATCGACGCGTGTCGCGCCGCTGTGCTGCCAGCTCGCTGCAGCGATGCTGCGCCTCGCGGTCGGAATCGCCGCCGCGCTGAGCTCGCCGCTCGCACATGCCGAAACGACGACGCGCGCGCCGCCCGAGGAGAGCGCTGGCTCGCTGCGATCGAAAGCTGACGAGGCGCTCATCAGCGGGCGGACCGACGAGGCGCTGAGCCTGCTGGGCAAGGCCATCGGCCTCGAGCCCCTCAACGAGCGGAATCTGTACAAGCGCGCGCGCGTCTACCTGCGCGCGAAGCGCATCGCGGACGCCATCGGCGACCTCGGCGCCGCGTTAAAGCTCGCGCCCGAGTACGAGGCGGCGCTGGCGTCGCGCGCCAAGGCGCTCGCGTCCGTGGGCCGCTGCGCCGAGGCCGGCGAGGACTGGAAGGTCGCGCGGCTCGTGGCGAAGAAGGACGCCGCGAAGCGCGACGCGGACGCGGGCGCGGCGGCGGCGGCCGCGTGCGTCAAAGAGCTCGCCGACGCCGCGAGGGCGCGGAAACGGGGCGACCGGCGCCTCGAGCTCGAGCACCTCAACGTCGTCCTGGAGACCTACGCCGACGCGCAGCCCGCGGCGCTCCTGCTCGACCGCGCGCGCGCGCACGCGGCGAACGGCGACTGGTACGAGGCCATCGCCGAGAGCGGCCGCGCGCTCAAGGCCGCGCCCGACGACCTCGAGGCGCTGGAGCTGCGGGGCCTGGCCTACTACCGCCTCGCGGACCACGCCATGGCGAAGA